ATACAGTGTCCCACCCCCAAAAGCACATACCGAACACTCCCCCCCCCCCCCCACACCATGACGAAACGAAACGAAACGAAACGGCTGCCAAATAGTTTGGCAAAGTTAACGGTAACAGCCCCCCGCCGCCCACGAACCACCGAAACATTTGCAGGCGTGAACTTTGTGGCTGTCACGGCCCTCGTGTACTCGTAATGGCCTCTGCGATTGCTTCGATTGCTCGCTAATCATTCGCATGTTGGTTCACATTTTAACGTCTGCTGTTACGCGGCGGCCTGTGCCCTGCCCCCGGTCCCTCTGCCAGCGCCAACGCCAGCGCCAGCGCCAGCGCCACTGCCTCTGCCTCGCTCTCTTTCTTGCCCGTAAAGAGATTTTTATCACACAGCTTAGTGAGGCGGAGGAGTTGTAAGAGGGAATCTGCGATGAATGGCTGGCAGGGCTGGCTGGAAGGAATGGCAGGGGTGTGGGATAGGGGCTATCTCCCTCAACGCAGTTTTCCCGTAGGCGCAAAATTCAACGACAAATGTCTTTCATTTACGCGTAATAAAAACGAAATCTCCGCTGAACAATGGCCGCCGGGCGGCTTTTGGGGACTGGTCGGCACCATCATACCTCCCCCGCACCCCACGCAGCTTGTGCTCTTTAATACCCGTAACTTGTTGTTCTTCTGCTTGTTCCCAGTGTTCCCATATACTTTGTGGCTGCCTCGAGTGTATTTTACGTTATTTTGTATTTAATTTACAGCCATGCTGGAGATGGCCGAGCGAAAGAGCAGGCGAGCGCGAACGAAGGTGCGAACGTGCGAACGTGCGAAGCGACCGCAGAGCTTTGCTAGTTCGTGTCGTGACGTGCCGTGCACGGCAGTCCGTTGTTCTCACGTTCGCATCTCTAGCCAACAGTCGACGCTCTTTCTCTCCTGCTGTGGTAAACTGGTGGCTGATCTTAATGGCATAAAAGTATAAGCCGTACATGTTGATTACAGAAAGAAAAGCGCTTAAATATGCATGAGTCGCATAGAATTTAAACACGCAACAGAAAACTCTGTCAAGTCAGTGGGAGAGTGTGAGGGGAATGGGGAATGGGGAATAGGGTGGCTTTGCCGGAAGCGTTCGTTTTTGGCTTGTAACATTCGCATTTAACTCAAATTCAGCTTAATTTGACGCTGGTAATCGGCTGCCATTATCCATTTTCCATTTACCATTTACCACTTACCCCCCACCACATACCGCATGTGTATCTGGCTGTTGAATGGCACTTCAAGTATTCAATGCTCAATGCGAATATTTGTGTGTGTGTGTGTGTGTGTGTGTGTGGCTGACTCTGCCTTTGAGAAAGTTTAATTAGGAACTTAAGTGCATGGCGGTAGACCGGTAAAGCGCTTCAGGTTTCAAGTGACTTGCAAAACGCCATTAACAGATGCAAGGAAGCAGAGATACGGAAAAGAAACAGAAATAGAAAAACGTCAAAAGTGAGCGGGCAACAGAAGCAGGAACAGAGATCAACAGAAGCAGGGCGTAACATAAGCAGAAACGGTTAACGGGGAGTGGTTAACAGAAGCAGAGCAGAGTAACAGCAACAGAGATCAACAGAAGCAGTGCGTAACATAAGCAGAAACGGAGAGAGATTAACAGAAGCCGGAGCAAGAGCAACAGAGATCAACAGAAGCAGTGCGTAACATAAGCAGAAACGGTTAACGGGGAGTGGTTAACAGAAGCAGAGCAGAGCAACAGCAACAGCAACAGAGATCAACAGAAGCAGAGATGCACCGTTAGAGAGAGAGCCTTGGAGTGCCTCTCATCTCCTTCCGCCCTAGCCATATGCATGTAGTCGCTCACATATGAGACGCGCCAACTTAATGGTAATCGCTGGCGCCCAACAAACGGCCAATAGCCTTGATGGCCATATTGTGGCCACAGGCACTGGCAGCGTGTGTACGTGCTGCACCTCTAAACTACGGCTAACCATGCAGCGGCAGCGGAGGCAGCTCGCGGACGCTTTGTTTACCTGTCATGTTGTTACAACTTGCCACGGGCACACACACAGCGCATGCCACGCTTTGACATGGGTGTGAAAGGTAATGAAACAAAAAAAACGATGCAACCAGCACTCTGTAGCACCCGCGGGAGCAGCAGCCGGAACAAAATGGTGCACTAAGCGCACCACAAAGAGCTTATGTTGCATGCCCCCCAGCCACCACGAGAGCTGAAGCATTTAGCAGATTTGCATGCAGAAACACGCGCGTGCCGCACTGCCTGTTGTCCTCCGCCTCTGAGGGCAAACATTTATGTGGATGTGCGTATGGAAAGCGAAGTCTATTTGATTAGGCAGCGAGCAGCTGTGGCTCGATGGCATGCAAAAGGGATATTGAATATGGTAAGCCAAGAGCCCATTCAGTTATGGAATTGCTGTCACTGCCCCAACCCCATGGCCAGCATGGTGGGCTCCCAGTTGGCCCTGCCCTAAGGCTCTGTACAGTCAAAAAGTCTAGCCAGATGTTTGGTTGAAAATCTCGTCTAAATTGCGCAACATTTCACAGCCAGATAGAATGGATTCCGGCATAGAGCTAACGCGCGCCGCGAAGCGCATCTTCGAGCAGATTCGACAGCAGCGGCAGCATCGCTTTGCCACATTCGCCATCTGCCCCGAGAACTCGCAGATCCTGGTGGATGCTGTGGGGGAGCGGGCGGCAAGCTACGAGGATTTCCTGCGCGACCTGCAGGGTCGTGGACACGGACAGGCGGGACAGGCGAAGTGCCGCTTTGCCATCTACGACTACGAGTACGAGCATCAGTTCAAGGACATCAAAGACTCCTGCCCGAGCATCAAGCAGAAGCTGGTGCTGCTGCTCTGGTGCCCGGAGCAGGCCGCCATCAAGGACAAGATCCTCTACGCCAGTTCGATATTTGCCATCATGCGTGGCTTCATCGGCATACAGAAGTTCATCCAGGCCAATCAGCTGGAGCAGGTCCAGCAAGAGGCCATCGAGCTGCAGCTGCGCGCCCTGGACAGGGACTAGCAGTGGGACTGGGACTGGGAGTGGGAGTGGGACTGGGAGTGGGAGCCACGTCTGGGCTAATAAATTTACATTGAATTACATTTAAATTCGCAGCAGCTTCAAGTGGTTTCAGGCCCTTGATTTAATTTGATTTTGGCAGCGTCTAATGAGCCCCCATTTGGCACATGGATGGATGCCTCTTGACGCCTCCTCTTTGGCTTCGCCTTCGCCCAAAGTATCATCTGTAATTTGTTTTGTCCTCTCACTTCCACTTGCCTCATTATCCGTGGCCAAAAATACTTTTGCCTTTCGTTCGGAGGGCAAAGTTTTCGTTTTGGCATTCAGACTTTTTTATCTCGCCCATAAATCACGAGCCAAGTTGCCAGCCACGCGGCTTTCCATACCATTTGGCAACAGCAACAACGAGTGAGACGTTTGAAATGAATCAAATTGACGTGAAGCACGTCATCTCTGGCTGCAAATGTAATAGATCTAAGGACACGCCGGGAAGTGGAGCTGCTTTAAAACTGAATCTCAATGAAAATGAAAATGAAGCTGCAACTGCAAGGACAGACGGAAGGGACCGGAGTGGCATGGAGGAGGCGCCACTGTCGCTGGCCAACGGCATGGAAAACATTCATCTCCTGGCTCATGGAACTGGCAAACCTCCTGTTCGGTTGACAACACGCAGCATTAATGGTTGAGGCAAGCCGGCAAGCCGGCAAGCAGTGTCGCAAATGAAGCGAACTGAAACGCAAACTGAACGATAAAAGCAAGCCCCAAAAGAGCTGCAGCCATAAAGTCGGCCAGAAATCCAAGCAAAAAGCAAACAAATCCCAGCTAAAAACTGACTGAAAAACGAAACCTCAAAATCGTTACCAAAAGAGGGCGAGAGCGGGAGAGCGAGAGAGAAACCCGACTAGAAATTCAAGCAGAAAATTGTAGCAAAAGCAGAGTTTGCTCTGAGTTATATTCAGCCAGCATTCAGCTTTCCTGCGGAAATTAATTCACCTTTGACCCTGAACGGGAAATGAGAAGCTGCTTCAAGTGTAGCGAGAACATGCACAAATCGCACTGCTTGCTGTCGCAACTGCCACTGCCTGCCACTCCGAGCTCAACATGTTGACAAGTAATTAGCCGCAGCAGGCAGTCACCCAGAACCAAAGTCGATTTAACTCTTAATGCGTCTGTCAATGGGCAAAAAGTTTTGCTTGGCCCATCAGCAGTTTGAGCGGCAAGCAGTTTGGCGTGTTAGCGGCTCAGTCAAGCCTCTCGGTCGCCTGTCATCGGTCGTCGGTCGTCGGTCGCGGTGTCCATTTAATTATGTTTCTAGAAATGGAATTCATTAAGCCAAATCGCGTTGCTGCCACCGAATCGATTCGTGATGGCATCTGCACTGCGCTTCCGTTTCCGCTTTCTCGTTGCTCGTTTCTCGTTCTCGTTATTATTGTGTTGACACAAGATGCGACGGAGCGTGCCACAGTCGAATGTCGCATGTCGCATGTCGCATGTCGAATGTGCCTGTCTACCTGTCCAGTGCGGCGTGGGAGGGAGCTGCCACTGACCATGGAGACGTGCCACAAGCCATAAATAGATCTGCCAAACTTCAGCGTCTGTGTTTTTGTGGCAACGGGTTGGCAGGCAGCAAGGCAAGCAACATCTCTGGCAAGTGTATGTGGCACATTGAATTTTTGGGGCTGTAGCCTGGATATGTGGGTATTGCGGTCTGCCACATAGCCGGGGCACGCTTGGAAGCTGCTGCGAAATATTAATTTGAATTGCAAAGAGCACAGAAACCGCAGAGAGACAGAGAGAGAGAGAGAGAACAAGGCACAAGTTTCTATGCCCCCCAGGCAGCACACAGAAAAAACTTCATTTATATTTCGAAAATTGGCATTTTTATGGGCTGACTGACGGCTTAAATATTTAATATGCTGGCAGTCCTATTTTTAAATGGAGTCCACAGTGCCCCACAGTGCCCCACTCCACATGAGCGTCGGGAGGGTCCCTTGAACCACACATCGGTATGCGAGCCTCGACTCGACTCGACTCGACTCTTGCCCCGTGGGTCAGCAAACTGTCTGCGAAGCGAGAACTGTGTACAGTACGTTGACGCCCCCTCCCGGGATCGACCGCAGGCTCAATTGGGTAGAAATTTTGATTGCTTAGCATTTAGATTTTGACCCCAGCAGGGACCCCAAAATGCCGACAGCTGCTTTAATGTGAAGCAATTGCAATGAGCGGCAGCAATTAGGTGCCACATCAAAGCGGTCCCCTGGCTGCAGTGCAGCATGAGGCAAGCTTGAGCGAGTGTTTGACACGCTGTCCACATTTACATGGGCGCCACACACACACACACACACACACACACACACACACAAGATTAATGACACACAACTTGGACTAACTGATGGACGTCTAATGGTGGCCATGGCCATGGCTTGCGGGCCATTTGAGTAATGTTTTATGGACGTGTAACCCCAAGGCCAGGTCCCGTTGCTGCACTCGAGTGGCGGCGCATTGGCGTCATTCAAATCCCAAGCGCAGTTGGACGAGTGATGCGACGAGCAGGAGGCAACGAGTAGCAACCAACGAGTAGCAGCCACGTGGTGGATACATTTGTTTGATTTGTTCGATTTATATTGAGACAATGCCTCGGTGACAGGCTTCCCTCCTTCCTGCCTGGCTTTCCAGCCGAGGAATGCGATTATTTCCGAAAAGAATTTAATTAAAATTCTACAAATTGCGCAACAGAATGGGAGTTCCACACATGCTGTGTGGCATGCCGCCGACGCACATGGGGAAAGGGCACAGGGCACAGGACACAGGACACATGCCGGGGCGGGGTCTGTGTGGCCCCATGGCTGTCTTCAATTAGCAGGGAGTCAACATCTAATTAACTTCGCTGGATGGCTGCCCTCGTGGCACCCAAAAAGGGAATCCCAAATCTCACGCTGCCGGCATCTTTGAGTCAAGTGTCGCTCCCACGCTGCTGTGTGGCCAAAGATAGATAAAGAGAGAGAGAGAGAGAGAGAGAGAGAACTGCGTTGGCGACACGTGCCAAGTGGCTGGCTTTCTTCCAACTTCCTTCACAGAAGGAAGCCACATAAGCCGCTTACATATTTAATTATAAGCTCGAAGTAAAGCCGCCACTGACAGCGAAAGGCAGATAGGGAGGGAGGGAGCGACTGCGACTTGTACTTGTTTGAATGAAGAGCATGCGAAGAAACGCAGTTATAACTGTGAAAGCGCATCGCTCGTATATATGTATGTATGTGCATGCATGTGCATGTCGCTCTCTGAGCACGCCACCTGTCGCTGTCTCTCTCCCTCGCAGCTTTGCGAACCTGCATGCATGTGCATGTCCCACTCGGCGAACGCGCCTAATTTGCTCTCTCTCTCTCTCTCTCTCTTTCCCACTGCCTTGCAAAGCTTCGCATGCCCGCTACCTGCTAGCGTCGAGGGGTCTCACATGCCCGCTACCTGCTCGAGGCAAAAGGTCTCTGCCAGCGTCGAGGGGTCTCACATGCCCGCTACCTGCTCTAGCCGAATGGTCTCTGCCAGCGTCGAGGGGTCTCCCATGCCCGCTACCTGCTCGAGGAAAAAAGTCTCTGCCAGCGTCGAGGGGTCTCCCATGCCCGCTACCTGCTAGCAGTGCAGTTAGTTTGAAGCGATCAACGACCACAAAGTAACGGGAATATGCATTTGCTCTATGCTGGGTACAGGCAATCAATAAGCCCACAATTAGCGGTACTTACACTCCGCTGTCTGGCTGCTTCCATCCCAAAAATTGTGCGGTTGGGTAGGCGGTTAGTGGCGGAGATCACAAGCCGAGCTGCCTAGCTTAGCTGTAGGCCGTAGGCCATGGCATCCAATATGCAGACCAAAACACTCAAGCAAAACCAACTCAAAGTCAATCAAATGGTCATTCAAAAGAGGTTCCGACTTTCCTAATTGAAATCTACTCCAACAGCTGGCCATGGGTAGGGTAGGAGGGTGAGGGATAGGCGACGGTCGCGAAAGCGACCACTAATTAGTTCAGCCCCAAAGTCCGATATGCTCATTAATTAAAAGCGGATTTGTCTTACTTGCAGCCCATGGCAAAGACCCAGCAACCACTCCACGAGCAGCCCACGGGCAATCCATGTGCTTCCACGAACCAGCACTAGGTGCGATCCCCTCTCCGCTGGCGTTGCTGGGATGCCACAAGTGTAAGCGGCGTAATCGTAATCGTTCAGAAGTCCACCGACAGAGAGAGAGGGAGAGAGAGAGAGAGAGAGAGGCTGAACTTTGTCTAAGGGAATATGTGGGAGCCTCTGCTGCACAACAATTGAAGTGAGTCATTTGTGAGTGTTGTTGCTGCTGCTCATATCTGTATGTGAATCTGTTTCTGCAGCTGTCCCTGTCGCACACCCTGCCTCTTTCCACCATTCGCTGTAGCCGTGGAAAGGGAAGCTGGGAAGGGCACTGACAACACGTGTTCCCCGCTCGTTCACTCTCCCCCTCCTGGGGTGTGCGGCGAACAGCCGGAATTATAATAAAATTGCTTCTTAAAAAGATTGAAGTTTCCTCGCTGTTGTTGATGCTGCCTGTCGCTGTCTCGCAGCTCTTTCCTCTCGCTTGTGCAGCACTGTTTAAACATTGATAAGCCGCCTGCCAGCGCACAGAGAGAGAGAGAGAGCGGGAGAGGGAGAGAAAGGGATGCTGGAGAGCAGCGCCGATAGCGGTGGCTTGGTCAAAGTTTTATTTTGCTTTTTATGTACATACTTACATTAATTTAATGTTGCCAAACATTTCGCCTTGCCTCCTCGCAACGCCGAGCAGCCTGTCTGTTCATTGTAATCCGTACTTACGATTTGCTGGAGTGCGAGCATGGGGGCATCCGCGCTGCTTGTTTGCTTGTTTGCTTGTCTCAACTCTGCGCCGTGTAAAGTACCGTTGAGTGGGTTCAGTCAACAAAAAAAGTTATGAATCGAACAGCAAGCAGAGCAGCAGAGCAGCAGGCAGCAGGAACTGAACTGCGAGTGTCAACAGAGCAGGAAATTGAAATGCACTTTCAAGGATCAGGTTGCAAAGTGGGTCTGTGTGTGGGTGTGTGGCAAATGCGCAGCAACTGTTCAATAATTTAAACTCAAAGTGAAGTAAAAGCATTGCTTCACGGGCTGCGATCAGAGCTCCAGAACAGCGGCACAGCGGCACAGCAGCACAGCGGCCCAGCCCTAGACATTGCCTTATCATCAATCAAAATTAAACTCAAACGCCGCATCCTTCCGAAATGCTTTGCCCCTGTCGTTTGTTTTTTGTTTGCTTTTCGATGGGCAGGTGACACTTGAGGCAGGCTTTTGTCTTGAACCAGCAACCAGCCTGCCTGCCAGCCAGCCAGCCAACGATGCTCTCCATCAACGTGGCCTTTGGTCGCATAAATTGCTTGCTCTTTTCATTAATTTCAAGACGAAATTTATGACATTTGCTCGAACGAGGCACAGGCGGTGGGAGGGCCTTCAACTTAATGGAAACAAATCAGAGGCAAAAGGCATAATTCAGCTGCCAAAGCGGAGACCCGTTGCCGTCTTGTTTTGATTTATTTTTGGCCACATGTCGCACACATTGTCATTTTTCTTTGGGCTCCACAAACAGAAATGCAAATGACTTGCCACGAGGCGGAGGAGCGGGGTGGCTGCCCCGGATTATCCGTCTTCATTTGCGTGTGAATATCCGCAGGGAGCACACACACACACACACACACACACACACACACACACACAGATGTTGCAACATGCAGCATGTGTGTGTGTACTCCATTCGTGCCACGCCAGTCGATTGCGCGTCGCGTTTCCATTCATAAAGATTTCTCAACGGGGCGGATGCGCAATGTCTATGTTAAAGAGCCTTCGCTCCCACCCGGCGTATACGTCATTTGTGTGTTGTGTGTGTGTGTGTGTGTGTGTGTGTGTGTGTGTGTGCCTCAAGCCTCAAAACGTGCCCCGCCTGCCAAGTGGCAGCCGCCCACACGCACAAGGACTTCCAGTGCCCGGCCAGTGGACTCGCTGCTGCACAAATATTAATCATTCGAATGAAAAAACATCCTGCATCCTGGCCGGAACCAGAACCAAAAGAAACACTTTACAAATGGCCAAGAACTTTATTTATAGAAATCAGCAGACGACAGGAGGCAGCCTCGCCCCCGAACCACACAGCACAATTTATATGCGAAATTCGGCCACAGGTTTTTCTGCTTTCCTTTTTCCTGCGGCTGTGGCTGTGGTTGTGCTTCCGGTTGATTGCTCAACTAATTCCGATTGGTGGCAAAAGGCTACTCCAGCCTCCTGCCGAAGCTCATGCAGATTTGAGCAGATCCAAAGCAGTTTTTGCCAGACGTTTTGAATTATTAAAAGCGCCTTCCCAACTCTCAGCTCTCAGCTCTAATCCGGCTAAAGAGTAATCATTGATTGAGCTGTTTACGTTTTTATTTACAACCCGAAAAGGAACCACAATCCAGCCTGGGGCTCGCCTCTGCTATTTGCATAGTCGGCCGTTCCGTTCCGTCCCTTAACTTTTACCTTTTTTTGGGCTAGCCCTTGGCTACCCATGGCTGAAATCAATCGCCGGACGGGGCAGCGTTCGCTTCACTTAATTAACTGGCTAAGTGAGTGGTTGCTTCTGGTTTCTGAAGGCAAAGCCGCTCCAGGATGCTCAGAGCAACAGCCACAAGGCCATGGCCAAGGAATGCTCGTAAAATATTGCCAGCCAGCAAAACAAAATAAAAAACAACAATGAAAAAAATAACAACAGCAGCAGCAGCAGCGGGGCAAAGTCAAATAAAAGTTTTTAAGAATTTTGGTAAGGAGAAAGTCGAAAAAGGATTTTCGCGCAAGTCAATAAAGCAAAAGGGTGGCAGGAGGAGCACAAGGAGGACATCCAAAGGAGCTGCCACAAGCAGGTGGAGGCAAGCAGCCCCAAGGCGGTGGAGCACGGCAAGTGGCGCATGTCCATGCCTCTGCCCGATATTGACTTGGGACTAAACGCTTAACGGTTCAAACTAATTACTGCTCCGCGCAAAAACATAAAATTAACCAACTAATGATATTTCCCGTTGCAGAGCCCCAAAAAGTAGACTACGGCAGGCAGGCGCACACCTTGCCTGCCGCTTCAGGGATCGTGCAAGTCCCCTGCGGCACAGCTGGGCACTCCATTAGCACTGTGGCACGGGGCAGACAAAAATGTAATATCAATTTTGCGCAAAAGCATTTTAGCCATAATTATCCCTGGCTCTTCTGCCTGTGTGTCCTTCGTGTCTCGCTGTCCCTTCTGCCTTTGTTTTTGTGATGCTAAGCAGCAGGACATGAGCGACACACCAAGTGACCCAGAACCGAGTGGAGCTCTGGCCCTGGCACTGGCCCTCTGGAAAGTGTTGTTGCCCGCCCCCAAACGGAAGCTGAAGGTGGGAGATTGCTCGAGCTGCTGTGAGGCCACTTTTAGTCTAATTACGAGAAGGAGCAAAAACACTTTACACTTTTTAAGACCCATCCTTGCGTGTGTGCGTGTGTGTGTGTGTGTGTGTGTGTGTTTGTTGTGCCGACACTCGACAATTTATGCGTTTCTGAGTGGCAGTCAGGCATAAACGATGCCTTAACTTTAGCGCCCAAAAAAGAAGGAAGAACTTTGTGCCAATGAATGAATTTGCGCCAAGTCAAAGTTGAACTATATTTTTGTTCGGCGATTAATTCATTATTCAATGGCCATCGAAGGATGCTCATTATGCATGCACAGAGTATCTGCGAGGAGTATCTGTGCGTCTGAATTGCATCCAAATTGGAATTACACCATTAAAGTGGAAAAAAAGAACAACACAATGAATGCAAATACAATAATTAAAAGTAATTAAAGCACCCAAAGTCAATAAATAAATGGAGAACGAACACAGCCGGGGGATAACTTTAACTTGAATTAATGCCGTGGCATTATTTATACACAATCCAAACAAAGTTTGTCTGCCCACACTCCGGCCGTAGAGAGTCGAGATTGAATTAATCAATTTGGGCAAATACACAGCAAGCGAGCAAGCAGTGGAATCAGCCAGCCAGCAGCAAGCAGTGCAGTGTGAGCAGCGAGTAGCCTCAAACTTTGGCGAGTGCCGCAGGAGGCACTCCCACAACCGAATGATCAGAGTGGGAATGCCCGCGGAGTTCGATTCTACAAAGACAAAAGCATTTTCTATTCATGGCTGCTGGCACTGAGCCAAATCAAAGTGAATCGCAATAATTGTGAGTTCTCGATCAAAAAGCGTGGCAGCGAGTAGGGGAAATGAAAAGTTTTGCTAGGAGTAGTTCGAGGCCTGCACTTATTGTGGCCACACAACACTCGGGGCTGGCCGCAATTTCACTCACAGCTTCACTTAACCAGTCGCTACTTCAGTTACAACTTATGGGCTGCTCCTGTGGCCTCTCTCCAGCGAGTGGCTGTGTGATTTATAAAGCCAAAAAGGTGTCGTTGGGCAAACAAAAAGGAAAACGCTCTTTAAATAATGAGCCAAAGGTGTAAGCAAGTGGAAGTCAGCTCCTCCGTTGGCACGGCGCTAATTAAGTTGACAAATGTGGCCGAGGCCGCCCCCAAAGCACTGATTATGATAATGTGCTGCTGCTGCTGCCACAGCCGGAAGGAGCGGAAGGAAGCAACTCAGACGCTGAACCGAAAGAGGAGACTGACTGACTGAGTCTCTCCCCAGGGGAGCGGGCGACATTCAAATTATTCATCTGCGAATGTCAAAGCCCCGCTGATTGTCAAACATTGTCGGTCTTAATCATTCGTCGTTTACACAGACGCACACAGAACAAGGAATTGCTCGTGGGTGGCAGGTCCTGTAGGTCATGTCCATGCGTAGCGCCTGTGGCAACTCCCGAAACTCCTGCATCCAGGCCCTGCAGCTGAACATCGATGGTCCATTCGCCATTCGCCATTCGCCCACGCGGAGACCGCACCGAAAGGTCGTCGTTTGTAGCAACAAGTCCTTTGGCAACATGTTGCCCCATGGCTGTGGTGAATTGGCAGCACACAGCCGCCTCGCGGCCGCATGGCCAACATGTTGCGGTTCCCGCTTGCCGGCTGTGTGTGTGCGCCACAGAAGGTGCCAACGACCGAGGACCGACACTGTGTCAGTGCTCCACGAAGGTTACGCCGCGCAACGTCTCCGCTCTGTGTCTGGCTCTTTTTTCTTGTTTGTTTTTGGCGTACTTTTTGCGAGTTCTCCGGCAAGTGCTCGGCTACGTGTCGCGAGTTCCAGTGCCAGTGCCAGTGCCAGTGCCAGTGTTGTTCAGAAGAGTTGGGAGGATCCGTGGCGATCCGTGGCACAGCCTCACAATTGGCACCTTTTACCGCTACCTGCGGCAGCTGCTGTCCGCCCTCGCACCGCTGGCCACGGACGCAGTGCTCCAGCTGAACGGCAGCTATGCGGGACAGCAGCTCCATGGCGCTGCCTGGAGCACAGCCGTGGGCAGTGGCAGCGGCAGCGGCAGCGACGGCGGCAGCGGCAGCGGACTTTCGGCTGAAGAAGGCTTCAGCATCAGTGGCGCCGATGCTGTTGATCTGCTGTACAACTACAACTACAACAACTACAACTACACCGGCAGTGGGCTGGAGCTTGGACTCGCGGCGGACCTTGGCCTCAGCGCACCGACGGCGGCCACGGCGCCAGCACTGCTGCCAGCAGCGGCCAGCAATCACAGCCAGCGGTCGGGCGTGGCGCGTGTGAGCGCGGATGTGCCCATCTGGGTGATACCCTGCTACTCGATCATTCTGCTGTGTGCCGTTGTGGGCAATCTGCTGGTGGTGCTCACACTCGTGCAGAATCGTCGCATGCGCACCATTACGAATGTTTTCCTATTAAATCTCGCCATCTCGGACATCCTGCTGGGCGTCTTCTGCATGCCCGTCACACTCGTGGGCACCCTGCTGCGACACTTCATCTTTGGCGAGTTCCTCTGCAAGCTCATTCAGTTTGCGCAGGGTAAGTGTGTGTTCAAAAAGCTAAGCAGAAATATAAGCAGAAGTGTGTGTGTGTGTCGCGACTGGGTTTGTAGAACTCTCAATTGCAGCTGCTCTCCCACTCCCTCTCCCTCTCTCACTTTCACTATTGCAATGCATTGCAAAACGGTGCTTTTGCCTGCGTCGCAGTTTTACCATTCTTTCTTGTTTCACTCAGCATTGCAGAGCAACAAATGTGCGCTCTCATTAGCTCGCTGCCATGATCCTCTCCTTCTCTCTCTCGCATTAGTTCCGCAATGGGTGAGCAATGCTAACGCAATTATGAGAATGCACTGAGAGAGAAGTAGAAGAAGTAACAGAAAGAACAAAATATTGAGCGTTCTATTGTGATGTACATGACATGTACATATGTATATATTTGTAAGCTTCATATATCACAGCTACGCCTCCAGAGCTGCCAGAATTTGACGACCTAAGCGTTCCGTTCCTTTCATCTGCCGCCGCCCACGAAACTCAAAGATTGAGTCGCTCACTGGACACTGGACACTGGGACACTGGGACACTGGACACCCTCTAGCTCTGAGCGCCAGTTCGTCGCCTTGCGGTTGTTTACATAACATAAATGACTCGCGAATATGCGAATGAAAGTTACTCTTTTGCAGCCCACAAACTCAATTGGAGACACCACTCGGTATCAAATCGAAGTACCCATCATAATTATTGTCACTCAGTCGAGATTCGATATGTCTAAGGAAGTGCCACAATGGACAGACTTCCATTTGACTCTACGAAACGGAAAGTATTCAGCCAGTGGAGCCCAATCGATCCGGTCGAGTGCAAAATAAATGGAACCAAAAAGGAAGCAGCCCGACCCGACCAGTCAAATGAAACGTGTGCGCCAGCAGATACAATTGGCCAATGTCCAGGAGCTGATCCAAAAGATGACGCAGCGCTGCTTCCGCACGTGCATCGTGCGCCCGGGGCCCAACCTGAGCGCCAGCGAGCGGACCTGCCTCACCAACTGCGCGGATCTGTTCATGCTAGCGGTTAAGCGAGTGTCGCAGCAATACTTCAGGCGCATGCAGCGCCAGCAGCAGCAGCGACGCCTGGCAAGTGGAAGTGGAACGGGAACGGGAACGGGAACTGCAAGTGGAACGGGAACGGGAAAAGGAGCTTCCGCTGCTTCCCCATTTTCGGACAATAAACGAGAATAAATTGCAAACTTTCAACATGGCACTGGGCCTGGACCCATGCCTTTACTGCAATTCGTTAGCTTAGAAAACTAGCGACAACATGCTGTAAAAATATATCAAAAATCTGTGTATCTGTGCCTGTGCAAGTGATATTTAAGAGGATTCTTAAGTGTTTGGCTCGTGATTTGAATGGCAAACTTGCTGTAAAGTCTTTGCTGACAAATTTGATTAGCAAAGTTTCAGGCAAGGATTGCAGCAGTGCCAGGGCAAGGCCTGCCAAGCTTCGCCCAACTTTGTCTAGGTCGAAATATGAGCACGATGCTCGAAGTATCGGGCAGCTTTTCTCTTTAGACAACAGGCAGCAGGAGCAGCATGTGACACTGTTGACCATATTTAGTAGACAATTTTGATGGCCTGCTTGTGCACGCCGATTTTCCACTTAAGCAAACTGCTCCCCCCGCCACGCTCCGCTCTCGACTTTACGCACAGTTCCCGCGCTTATTTATAGTTGAAATCATAATTCAAGGACCACCTCCCCCCCCCCCGGCATTCGGCCTTTTTATGGCGTGTGGCAAGCGTGGCAAGTGTCCATATCTCTACATCGCAGTGAGTGGGTGAGTGCGGCGAGCAGCTACCCCCAAAAAAAACTAACGACCGACGGGGCTGGCCCGTCATTATGGATTTTTCAGAGGGTTCGAAAGATTAAGTATGCGCACAGCACACCCAGGACACCCAGGACACCCAGGACTTCATGTGGGGGGATGGGTGGCTGTTGGGGCAGCCTGCCCCACGCCAATGCCACACGAGGGCCTTTCAAAAGTCCTTTAATTCCAATGACTGACCCTGAGATTTGAGACGCAAGCAGGGAATGTCTTCGGGAACTGTCGCTGGTACAGTCTCTGCTCCCATCTCTGCTCCCCATTGCCCTCTTGCCACACGCTTCGCAGACATCAGTTTAAGGAAGCTTCAAGGAGGCGGTGCCTAAAGTTGTGGGACACACCAAGTGCATGCCGGATGGCATTCTAATTATGTGAGCAGACGGGGCAGAGCCTTGCTTCAGACCAAAGATGAGTCGCTGAGCCTCAGCCGGAGAGCCGGGAGTGACTGTCAGGCAAGTTCCCCTCCAGCCCCACGAAACCTTAGCACTGCTTGCCTGCCGTTACCCCCTCGAAAACTAGGCACTGCTTGGCTGCTGGCTGCTCGCCCTCCCCCTCTGTGCACCTTCCTTGGACTGCTTTTATGGCTAAAAACTGCAGCGGACTCAACGTCTTTTGTGGGAACATCGGCGCACATGAACGCTGCTAATCCATGTGTGTGTGTGTGCTGTTGTTTGTCTTTTGGGGGCTGCCGGAACTGCTGCTCCCCCTCTGTGCTCGAGTGCTGCTGCCTGCGCATGGCAGTCATATTATGGCCCTGTGGAGGCCGGCCCCACGTCTGGCTTATTAAAAACATAATAACAATAGCAGCAAACAACTTGAACGCCTCCCCACACACACACACACACACACACGGGCAAATGGCAATTTGTTAGACAAACACTTTGGCAGGAAACAACCCCAGCCCCAGCCGCAGCCATCACTCCACTTATCCTTGAGTCAAGCGTGCCCCAAAGCGACGCGCATCTGTTGCACGGCGTCCAACGTTTTTTGCTCGTAAATTTATAAATGTCATCGCTGCGGGGGTGCCGTCCAAGCTGTCAGCCCAATTTATGACCATCATGTAAAGGTGCAGCACGCGGACACTGCTGCACTGCCTTGCCGATCCCAAGGGCGATGCCGATCCACGCCCCGCTGATTTATTGTCGTAATTATATGCAGTCGTGGCCATTGGCACTCACATGAATTGTTGCTCCGTTTCCCTGCCAATTCAATTACTTTTTGCCCATTTCTAGTTGGACGGCAGCCGTGCAGGAACTGCGACTGTCTGAAGCGAGTTTTTCCACTGAGAGCGACCTACCTTGAACCGTGCCACAGCCTCCTGCTGTGCCTGTTGACAGCTCGCCAAATTAATGATTAATTGAATTTTCTTCTACGGCGAGGCCTTACCTTGTACACGCTGCTTTTGGGGTAAACGCCTCTTCATCTCTTAGTAACCAAAATCTGCGCCATTGTCGTTCATTAATTAGGCAGCGACGTTGGCAGAAGGCAAACCCCAACGTGGTGTGGCCTCAGACGACCCCCCTCTGGAGACAGCTGCTGACAGAGCGACTTTTGTAGCCTGGCCGCAATGCACTTTGTGCTGCAGCTTCAGTGGTGGGGCGTGTTGCGGGGATAGCCAAGAGCCAAGAGCCAAGCGCCAAGCGCCAAGCGCCAAGGTTGTGCACACACACAAGCACGTGGATGTGCGTGTGTAGCCAAGGTAAATGCAGCATTAAGAGCAAATGGCATAAGTGGAAAAATGAAATGGAATACAACAAAAAACTACACTCCTCTTGAGGGAGGGGGTAAAATGTTATTTGCATTCATCAACCCACGCAAACACGCGCTCACACACACACACGAACTTGCTGAAATAGAACCCACAAACACACGCTCCTCTCCTCTCCTCTCCCCATTCCATTCGCTCACTCCCTTGCTCAAGCTCAGCTCACTCAGCGCTAAGCTTCACCCAGCGCTTACCTTCCACTCAGCGCTCTCCGCTCAGCGCTCAGCGCTCAGTGCTCAGCTTCTCTCTCTCTCTCTCTGCAGCGTCAAACGGTAAATTTGACTTTTGCGTAGTGGCGGGGAGTGTTTGCAATCAGTCGGACCTGTTTCACCTCCAACTCCTCAACTCATTCCTCATCAGCGGCAAACAAAAATTGAATCTTCGAACTAACGCCAAGCGACCACGCCCTGCCGCCTTGCTGCTGCTTCTGATACTCTCTGAATTTGAGTTGAGTCCGTGGTGGGGCCATGCCTTGGGGGACATGGTGGCATCTCGTCGCCGCGGGGCTTATGGGGGCCTAGTTTTTGCTTTCTGGTTGAAGGGTTTGTTTTGTGTGTTTGTGTGTGGGTTACATGTATAGGCCTTGTTCCGGGTCGTGAGCTTTTGTTGCCTCCTTTTAATCAGAGTTAACCAGACGGAAATGCGAACACGGAACGTGAGCAGCCAGCCAGCCAGCCAGTCAGCCAGCCGTCTCCGTGCACATATTCAAGATTTGTTTTGCCGCCGGCAAATACCAAAGCCATCATCATCATTTTTTCTTTTCTTTTCTTTTTTTTTCCATCTCGCGGAGCTTTAACAGGGTGCTTGGTGGCGTGGGAGGGGGGTTTAAAGCTTACCTGCACGAAAAACTACAGGCAGCAGCGGCGGCTCCTACGTGTGTGTATTTCCAGTGGCGGCTGACTGGCTGAGATTCACATTTTTCCCGATTTTATGTGCTCTGTCCTCTGTTTTTCGGGGGCATTTAGCTAGGCTCTGCTCCACCCAATGATGAGTTTGCCAATTGAAATTCCTTGTCAAATTCCTGGGCGCAATGACAAAATCAAAGGCAAAAAGCAGCAAGAGCCGGGCACGAGACGCTTTACAACACTGTCCTGCAGTTTCTTATCGTGTTTGATCGAAAGTTATGCCACACATAATGGACATAATTCGCCCATCGATTTGCCATTATTTAAATATATTTTTTCCGCTTCCCGCTTGCTGGCACACAATTCCATTTGCATACGACACAGAAAAAGTGCAAAATGGAAATGTGCTCCCAATGAATGAGTGCCCCTGAGTCGAGTGTTGGTCACATAATTGATTCCAAAGCTAGTCGCAGACACCGGCCAAGGGCGGACTGGTGGAATTTTCTGCCCCCACGCATAGCTTCAGTTTGAGTAATTTTGTAGGGGCCTGAAATTTACTTTGGGGCAGAATTAATGTGGCGCAAGGGAGGCGGCGACGGGAGACTTTTTCCCCCACAAGGAATACAAATGCGACGCAATTTTTCCTCGCATTTGAGTAATTTGGAGGGCTTTGAGGCCTTTGACTTTGGGCGAGTGCCTGTGGTAAGCCGCGACACCTTGACAGGCCCTTTGCGCGTAATTAATATCACTTACATACGAGTACAGGCGAGTGGGAGTGCGGGTATTTGTGATATTATCCTTGATGGGCGAGCAAGAGAATGCAGCAGGCTCGCATTTCCACTTTGCTTTGCAAATATGTATTGCTGCGGACAGCGTTTGAACGTTTTGTGGAGCATCTCGCTGGCACAGAGCCAGGGATCTGTGGCTACGGACAGCGGTGTCCGTCGAGTGGACACTCCGTGGCAACAATTATTCCGTGCCTGAGTAGCCCAGCCACGAAGAAGAGCACGCCGTATCCCCGTAGCGCCGTACTCCTGGCTTGTTTATGGCTTGCATTGACCGAGCAACAGCAGCAGGCACCAAGGATAAGCGGATGTCCGTCCGTTGCTGCTGGGGTTTTTCTTTGGCAGTAACAAAGTTTCTGCAGTGCACTCTCAGCCACTACGGGAATCGCTCCAGATATCTGCGAAACATCTCAAAAACAGACTGGGAACAGACTTTCTCCTTTGCTGGCAAATTCCTGATTGGCTTTTTCAACAAATCTCTGCCTCGACTCTTCATGGACACTTCTCTTCACTCTCTCTCTGTCTCTCTGTCTCTCTGTCTCGGGCTGTCTGTCTGCAGGTGTCGCTGGATAAGTGGGTAAGGGAAAAGCAAACGGAGCGACATAAACGGGTCAACGGATAGGAGAATATACAGGGGGTTAGTGGTGCGAGAGCCGTGCATGGAAATGCATACGGAATGAAGTTTTGCTGAAAGTTTGCCTAGAGCCCCCTATGACTGCGTGTTTGCCGTTGCTTGTGCCAGGACTAGCTGCAAGTTTTGTGCTAAAATTCCGCTTAAATACTTTTCAGTTCAGGCAAAAGTGCTGCCCCAGCTGCTGCAGCTGCTACCCATTCCCAGACACATTTTTCATATATCTCACATGCAGCACTGCTTGCTGTACCCATCTAGCAAGCAGTGCCTGCCAATAGCGCTGTGTAAGACATTTTAATTTGCTGTGTTTTACAATTTTCCCTACAAATTCATTCCAATTGGAGGGTCTTCATTCCGCTTGTGGCTCTTTTATGTCGATGCACACACATAGAAAATCAAATAAAATGAAATAAAATAACGATGTTCACTTTCGGTTGCCAGTCGTTCCCCGCGCCCTGCCCCATCGATATGCCTGCCAGCCAGCCAGCCAGCCCGTCACAGTTGCTGCTCCCCACTCGGTTAGCAATAACTTTTCTGTATTAATACGCAACAAAAAATAACAAAAACAAAACAAAACAAAACAATGGAGACCCAATTTTTTTGTATATTATTTCACAGTTTGGCAAAGACGAGCCAGCGAGCGGGCAAAGTTCAACAACAACACAAATCACAATAAAAGAGGGAATGAGGAAGGATGGAATGGGAGAGTGAACGGTAGCTGCTGGGCTCAGCATTCTGGTACCCGTTGCCAGAGCAGAGAGAATTTCGTCTGAGAGTCAGTCGAGTGTTTGCCCCCGCCCCGCCCCAACCATTCCTGCTGATGGGCATGGGAAGTGCATCAGGCAACCAAGTGATTGATTGTCCTGCTGCTGGTTTCTGTCTGTCTGCCAAAGTCACAGAGCAAACTTCAGTCGCGTACGCAGCAGCAGCAGCAGCAGCCGGAACTTTTTATAGAGAGAAATGAGATTCCCGAATTGAGTTTGAGCTTAGTTCTCCTCTCCTCTCTCTCCACTCTCCACTCCCATTTTTGCTTTTTCCTTTCTCCTCTCTTTTTGTTCGTTTCAATCTTGAGTCGTGCGTCGACAGGCCAAACTTTTTTGCCCAGCCATTTTTTATTGTTGTCTCAAATTTGGAATTATTTTTATTGGAGACGCAGAGAGAGGGCAGACGGAGGGCAGAGGGCGCGGAGCAGAGTCAAACATGGAGTCAGAGTCTAGTCCATAAAAATCCACTTTCAGTTATGGCTGGCAGCTATGTAACTGGCTGGGAAGTGCCATTTGGCATCTCGAGCAGGACATATGGACCAGCTCTCATTGTCATTGAGAGGCAAACGAGCGGTAAATCAAAAACAACGACCAGGGGGCCGAATGAGAGTGGGAACATGGGATTGGATTTAGATTTAGATTTAGATTCCACATTCTGGTTTGCCATTTTGAGAGTGGTGCAAATGGGCATGGAAACCGATTTGCATCGAACACTTGAAGTCATTTCAAATTTGATAACCATAATTTATGTATGTACACATGTAGGCTGTGTGTATTGAAAATTTTCGCAAATTACATTATGTATTTATGCTGGCGCGTGTAGCTCTGGCAACGGGATCCAAGTGGATTGGATTTTTCCATCCATTTACTATTTAAATACTGTCAACCCCCCCTTCCCCGCGCACTGCACTTGGTTTTGCCTCTCCCGGTGCCTAGCGGAAACTTCTCATACGCCTCACAGATCAGAGTCAGAGTTTTTCGGCTCATAAATTATGAACTACGCAAATGAAGCAGCAGCCACAACACGCATTGCGGTTGCTTATTTGCTGCTCTCTGCTCTCTCCTCTCACGGCCTCTCTCCATGCTTGCGCCACTTTGTTACTGTAATTTATTTGAAAATGTACTCAGCCAGAACTGCCGTCAGCTGGCTAATCCACATGTGCACTTCCGCCAAAAATGTTAACCCAGGCATTAAAACACCAAAAGTCAACATTTGGTTACGCAGCCAAATATTAGCCTGCAGTCCATGGCAGCAGTAGTATAAATTGTTATTATTGTGGCTCTTTTTTGCACACATTGTAACCTGTATCGGCACATAAACACATACATACATATGCAGACGATGCATCGGACTCACGTGGAGCTTTCATATTTTCACACGATTCATCATTTGCCATGCATCTTGGATCATAGCTGAGGGCAGAACGAGAGAGACATAGCAGAAAGCTCCAGCTCTCTCTCTCTCGCGTACTCATCTCGTGTCTTTCTTTCTTTCACCCTCACGCGATCTACCGCTCTCTTCATATGTCACTCTCTCGTTCTGTCGCTCTCTCGCTTGCATTGGGGCGACGTGCAAATTGCATCGCCTGCACTTTGCAGAATCTAGAGCTTTCCATTCAGAGTGAAAAATGAATGAGGAAATGTGGGAAGCAAATTCACGCTAAAATTACAAGTATAGCCTGTCCGATTTTAATTGCCACTCAAATTACTACTTGGGCACGGCGTCCATTTCTCAATAAGAGAAATATGAGAGTAGCAGCCAAGCCAGGCCAAGGCTTCGCTTCCTTTGAACGACCACACTCGATGGTCCAGTCCATCATATTTATTTTTCTACATTTTCAGTGGCCAACTTTGATTGCAGATGTGGTTCAGAAACTTCGTCCCAGCATCAGAGATGGGTCCAGCTTCTGTATTTGCTGTCGCCCGAGGCGAAAGTTGTGCACAAAGTGAGTTTGCAGCTCTCCGTCAGACCTCTGATAATTTCGTATGCAATTTACTTACCCGCCAAACACCACACCACTCCGTCGTGGTGGCAATGGACGGCTGGTTACTTATACTTTTGCGGTTCCTGGATAAATGAGATGCAACTTTCGAGTTGGGAAATTGACTCGATGGTGACTCGTGGCCATCCATCCATCCATCCATCCATCCATCCATCCACTCAGACGCAAGTGAAAAGTGCGATAATTTGAAGAAAGGCAATAAACAAACAGCAACAGGGAGCAGCAGTCGAGCAGCTTCTCTCGTTGAGCTGCCGCTGAAGCCCGAAAAATTTCATAACGGGATTCAGCGCTGCCCACTCTGACCCACAGACCTGTGCAGTGTACAAACAGAACAATAAGAAGCCAGGAAAACGTGAAAGAATTTCATTTTGCACCCCTCACCCAGCTCCAAGCAGCCAGCAGCCAGCACCCAACTGAGACTGGAGGCGTGGACTATTGTTGCTGCAATTGCATTTGTATGGACTGGGCTGTGGCATGTCCATTTAATTGGATGTGCGATTGCTTGCAGCATTAAAAATGTCAAAAGGTGGCAGATACGTGTATTGGCAGAGTGAATATTTGCATGCACAGGCTTGGATTGCCGCCAGCAGTGCGAACAACAATGAAATACATGAAAGATGCAATTACAAAGCCCCAACCTCAGTCCCAATCCCAATCCCAGGCGAAACCCTTGCCTCGTGTATGCAACAATAGAACCTAATTGTTGGGGCACTGCGTTTTCGACAATTTGCAATTCGATATTGACAAACAAGACACACACACACAGGCACATGTGTCTGCGTGAAAAAAACCATTTGAAGTTTATCCATTGGGCACAGTCATGGGCTGGTGCATTGGGACGGCCACACAGGCACATGAGGGGAGAGCCAAAGCCATTGTGATTCGCTGCTGACCCGAGATGGATTTGAACACCTGGACCAGTTATGGCCTTTTCTGTCTGTCTGTCTGTCTTTGAGCTCTATTGGGAATACACAGAAATCCATAAAGCCTGTTAGGGCAGGGCAGGGCCTAAAACTGCAAAATCAAAGCTAAGGCAAAGCTGCTTCCTGTGGCAGGTAGTCAGGCAGAGGCAGTCGTGTATTCCTTAGCAGCTGCTCTGGGGTCTTGCCTACTTTATGACTGCTGCTACAGCAGCAACAGCAAAACGAGTACAGAGGAAGAGAGAAAAGGAAACAGTGGGAAAGGGAAAGGGAAAAGAGAAAGAGAGAGATTTCTAGCAGATAAACCGCGATTTGTTTTTTGCAATTTATGTGGGGCATAAAAGGAAATTCGTGTAGAAGGCAGGCAGCCAACATATTTTACACAACAAACAAAATTAGTTACGTCCAACTCTCGACTCTCGACTGTTATTGGAATTCATTCAATCAAGGGAAACGAAATCCAAATACGCGTACGAGTATTTATGGGCCTGGCGTCGGGTTTTTCGATTACCCCATTCCCCCATTCCCCCATTCCAGCTCTGCCGTCGCTGTTGCGACTTGTGGGAGGTATTCCAATTCATTGTTCCCTCCCTGCACGCTTCGGTCTAGATTCTATTTTCAACATTTTCCATCAAATTTCCATTTCTCGCCTCGGACGCTGCGTAAAGGGTAAACCGCTGCTGGACCCGCAGCCAGGCGACTGCGACAGAGCTAAATCTAATTTGGTTAATGAGCCTGGGCCTGTTTCGTCATCTCAGCTCAGCTCGTCTCGTCACTCCACCCATTCAGAGAGCTATACGAGTGGCTTTTATGATGCTCCTGATGCTCGTCGTCGCTTTGGGATTGGCGCGGAAGCGCTGCTGGGAGGGGGCACTGGCACTGGAACTGTGGGACATTGCGACAGCAGTTGGCACTTTGATTAAATGCCTTCCTCCTTCCGTGGGTTCATTATCAGTTTCAGCTATCCCCTGGGGGGGGTGTGAGCAAACACACAGAAACAGAAACAGAAACAGTTTCGAGTCCAATCCAAAACCAAAACCAAAACAGACATTAACATTTTAATTATTTTGCCATTTTGCCTCGTTCCATCCATTGACCCAGACCCAGGGACCAAGCGTGACAATTGCCAAATATTCAGCGTATAAAACTTTATGAGGGCAGCGAAGAGAGGAATGGAGAATGGGCCATCAATATTCCGGCCAATGTGAAGCATAAAAGTTAAAACTTTACAGATAAATATTCTAATTATACGAGTGGCAGGAGCGGGCCAATAAAGTTTCTACGCTCAAGTAATTTCTTCGGCTTCCTCTTTTTGCAGCCGCCTCTGTGGCCGTCTCCTCGTGGACTTTGGTTGCCATCTCCTGTGAGCGCTACTACGCCATCTGCCATCCGTTGAGGTCGCGCACTTGGCAGACGATCAACCATGCCAACAAGATCATTGCCATCATTTGGCTGGGCAGCCTGCTCTGCATGACACCCATAGCGCTCTTCAGTCAACTGATGCCGACCAGTCGCCCAGGTGAGCTTCCCCCCACTTCCAGTTTCTCTTCCAGTCGTTCCAGACTTCTGTGTGTGTGTGTGTGTGTGTTCTTTCAGGGCTGCGCAAGTGCCGCGAGCAGTGGCCCGCCGACAGCTTGAACTACGAGCGCGCCTACAATCTCTTCCTGGATCTGGCTCTGCTCGTGCTGCCTCTGCTGGCGCTGAGCTTCACCTATCTCTTCATCACTCGCACTCTCTACGTGAGCATGCGGAACGAGCGGGCCATGAACTTTGGCAGCAGCGGACCAGAAGTGCCACCGGGTCCCCAGCTGCCAAACAGCAGCCAGCGGCGCTCCCATGGCAGCCACAGCCATTCCCTGGAAGCGGGAATGCAGCAGCAGCAGCAGCAGCTCGGCACTCCACAGTACTACTACGGTGAGTGACATACAGTTTGAGGGAAAGAGCGGAAAGAGCGTGCAAAGATTGCTGCAAGTCGAATTTTAAATTGGTATGCCACTCGGGATTAGTCTAACGGCAGCCTCCAGGTCTCACACAATTTGCATGCAAAGTTTGCCACGCACGAAATGCTTTGCTTTCTTCCCATCACGCAACTGTGGCCATAAGGGAGAGCGAAAGAGCGGGAGAGCGGGAGAGTGTGAGAGCGGGAGCGTGGGAGAGCGGGAGCGTGGGAGAGCGGGAGCGTGGGAGAGCGGGAGCGTGGGAGAGCGGGAGCGTAAAGTGCCGTTGAGTATTGTGCAGAGACGAGGCAATAACCGAAACCATTTTGTCATTCATTTGCATTCACTTCGACAGATTAAAGCCGAACCCGCCCCCGCTCACGCACTCTGCACAAATAAGCATAATCCGATGATTTTACTTGAGCAAAATCAATTCCTGTAATGCCTTTAATGCTGCCAGCTAAGCCCCAGCCAAAAACTTGTGTAGAGTAAATATGAGCAGAAACTGTACCGCTGCCATGATTCTCTGGAGAATTTTGTGGGGCAAACTTGTTGCTTTTTTTCATCGTCATCAAATATTATTCCAATTAACATCTTAGAGATCTAAAGCCTTGTGGGTGACGGGGCAGCTGGGCACGTCTCTCATTTGCATTTGCATGAAGGGGTTCGACTGAGTCCTCAAGGAATATCTCGCAGCTCCCAGAATAGGTAACAAAGAGAGGCTCAAGGCTCGAGGCTCGAGGCTCGGGGGCCGTGCAAAGGATTGAAAATGGAAATTTCGCATTAGCATAGGACCTTGCTGGTCCACCCTGGGAATCAAAATGAATTATCGCAGCACATGAGATACAGGATAAACTGGACACAGGACACAGCACACAGCACACAGCATACCCCGTTGATGCTGCCTCAAGTGATTCATTTCCTCATGCTCGTACATCGTGCTTTGGTGGCTGACCCCCGCCCATGCCCCGCCCCGCCCGTGCTCTCCCTTGTCGACCCAAATAAAAAAGGTCTTGTTAAGTGCCGTAAATTATGCAAGAGACAGCATTTAAGCGCTCGTTAAGAGCGGGCTAGTGGGGCTGTGCGACAGCATCCCACATTTTGTGGGCAGGCACATTTTCACCCAAGGCAAATGGCATGTGACAATAAATTTGATTACATTTTTAAACTGTTTTACGGCAGTGCCCGCTTGTGCAGCGGCATCGGTGACTAAACTGGGCTCCGTGCTGGCCATTTGCATATTCTAACGGCATATAATTAGAGCCGCTTCGGTGTGGTGGGCGTTTTACTCAAAGTGATTGCAATTTAACATATTCAGCCAAATGAAACACACACTTTTCGGGCCATGCAGCTGAGATTTAATACTTATTTATTTCCTGACTTAAAAGCTCGCGCTTTTCGTTTGACCCGAGAGAGGAGAGACTTTGGCAACACGCTTGAAATGGCATCGATCGTTAAAGCTTGCGGCTCTCTTCTCTGCTGCTACTCTCTCAATAACTCTGTTAAGCGTTCTGTTAGTGGCTCTGTAACAGTCTCTGTTAATCGCCCTTTGTTCTTCTTCCGCTTCCACTACTCCCGCATTATCGCTCTGCTATCTGCTCTGTTAGTTGCGCTGCCAACATATATTTACAGAATAAACGTCAACTGCGCTCTTTACATCTGTAATCTTACAGCAACGCGTAACGGCGCTTAGCGCTTTCGCAGCTGCAGCCAAATTCCCTGCTTGCTGGCCGTCAGAAAGGTGAGGGGCGAGACCTGCACGGGTGGCTGACGCTGGTCTGCGAGATGCACGGAGTAGTCCTGGAGCAGCGTTACCAGTGCGGCCTTTGTCTGTGCCAGGCCCAACCGCATGCCCGGACACATACGTGGCCCGGCACCGAAGGCCAGGAAACGGCAGCCCAGCCCAGGCGAGGCGTCCATGAAGCGCTCCGGCTGGAACTTGAGCGGCTCGGCATACAGCTGCGGATCGCTGACACAACGCAAGAGAATTCTGATTAAAGCTGCTTGTGGTGTGGTGTGGTGTGGTGTGGGGGATGTGGAGAGACTTACAGATGAATGGCCTGCACGGGGAGCACGAGGACCGTGCCCAAGGCAACCTGCAGGCTGCTGTCCGTCTCTGTGTCTGTGTCCCACCTCTGTGCTGGCAGTGTGAATGATTTGGTGCAGCGCTTCTGGAGTGCCTGCATGGCCGGATGCAGTCGCAGTGTTTCCAGCAGCGTGGCCTCCGCATACCTGAGCTCCGCCAGAGCAGCATGCCCCAAGAGCAGACCCCCATGCCGCTTTGCCACCTCCGTGAGTTCGGCATGCACACGCCGCTGGACGGACTCATTGAGCGACAGCTCGTAGAGGGCGAAGGCCAGCAGCATGGCCGAGGTCTCGTATCCTTCCAGCAGCAGCGTGGTGGCATGCCCCGCCAAGTCTGAGCCCTGCTGCTCGCCCAGCCAGCGCAGAAAGCTGTTGGCACTGGCACTCGTCCGCACCAGATCACACAGCCAGTGCTGCAGTGAAAGGGGCACGTAGCTGGAATATTGCAGGTGCCATAACTTTGAGCTTTGACTGAATGCATCTCAGACGCAGGTTCTTACCCACCGATGTTGCAGGATGCTGGCGAGGCGTGAGGAGTGCAGCAGCGCTATGGTTTCGGGCAGGCTCCACGCACTCGGCTGGAAGAGCGGCACCAGCCACTCCAGCCACTCGCTGCCCTGCTCCTGCTGCTCGTCCTGGCACAGGCAGTGGGCATCGAGGCCAAAGGCGGCCGAGGCAATCACCTGCAGCGTGTAGCGCGTGGCCAGCGCCTTGGCCTCGAAACGTTCGCGGATCAGACGCCGCTCGACAAACGGCCGCAGTTGCTGGCAAGCGGCAGCCACATGTGGCAGCGTCTGCCGCAAGCGGCTGGGCGTGAACAGGGGCACCAGATCGGCGCGCAACTTCCTCCAGCGATCGCCGCTGGCAATGAACGGATTGCAGCTGGCCAGGACATCCCGCTGGGCATCCACATTGACCGCATTGTCCGCACAGCACGCAAAGCTGCTGCCGACGAGGACCTCCCGCAGCAGTCGCTCATCCCGCACCAGCAGGGCGGGCTCATTAAACAGCCGATAGAAGCCCACGTAGCGCAGTCCAGGATGCTCTCTGTGCACAGCCTTAGACTTAGTTGACTCTCAGTTGTCGCTGGGTTGCCGCTCACCTGTAGATTTGTGCGTAGACCTCGCCGTAGGAGCGCTGCCCGAGGGCAAAGAGCGCCATGTTGCCCAGCAGCGGGCAGCCCTGTGGGCCGCATATGCCGCGTCGTCGCCAGTGGCTGTTGGACCAGGATGCACGCCACCTAGCGGCAAGAGCGAGGAGCAGGACTAACAGCAGCAGCAGCAGCAGCAGCAGCATCGAAACGTCTCTAGTTTCGAGATGAGAATGAATGCTGGGTACGTGACTCCGCACTGCTTATACGTGACTGCATTTTGCATTCCCCATGCATGGCGTTGCATGTTGCACGTCGCATGTGCAGTGTCTTCCCACCTTCGTGGGGCCATTAGCCGCATGCCAGTCCGTGGCCATTTGTTTGTTCCATAAGTGCTGCGGTTATAATTTATTTGTTTCCGTTAAGGAACACTTCACTCAGATAACGAGTAGTTGCTGCCAGCTGGCATGTGGATATAAGTGCGGGCTTGATTGATTGATTATTGGCAGACAAGTTTATTAAGAGATAAACACAGTTAAATGGTAAGAGAAATTGACGAAAGCTTTTACGCCGTGGAGGCCGGCTCTCTCTTTCTCGCTCGCTTTGCCGATCTACTTTTCGCTCTCTCCTGCTCGTTTTTGCGCTCTGCTATTGAGCTTGAAGCGAATTCGACTTTTGCTAGTTTACGCTACTACTTTGTTCCATATTAAGTATGTTTTTCGTTATATTTATCTTTCTCCAGCGGACAGCTATACCCATGGCGGCAGCAAGAGGAAGCTGCTTGGCGGCTCCTGCGAAGGGCGCCGGCATCTCTACTGCATGCGCAGCGCATCCGTAAAGTCGCTGCGGCAACAGCAGCAGCACAACCAGCCGCAGCCGCAGCCGCAGCCGCCGCCAATTAACGGGAATGACTGCTGCAGTCGTGCCCAACGGCTGCGACACCAGCAGCAGCACCAGCAGCAGCACATCTGCATGGGCATGGGCAACGACAACGAGTCCCGACGCAAGTCCCTCTCGCAGCCCAGTCTGCGCATCACTGAGGCGGGCCTGCGAAGGTGAGTCATGCCGTTAGTTACCGTTAGACATTAACTAGTACTAAAGTAAATGCCCATTGTTAGCATCGTGCCACGTCGCTCGAACGAGAGCAAGAGCCTGGAGAGCAAGAAGCGTGTGGTCAAAATGCTCTTTGTGCTGGTGCTGGAGTTCTTCATTTGCTGGACACCGCTGTACGTGATCAACACGATGACGATGCTGATCGGACCGGTGGTGTACGAGTATGTGGACTATACGGCCATCAGTTTCCTACAGCTGCTGGCCTACTCCTCGAGCTGCTGCAATCCCATAACCTACTGCTTCATGAACGCCAGCTTTCGGCGCGCCTTCGTGGACACGTTCAAGGTGCGACTGTGCGAGGGGGGCGGGCGCCTCTGCTTCTGGCGACGACGTTCCAAGAACGAGACCAATCTGTCCGTGGCCGGCAACTCGATTGCGCTGGCCAACTCGGTCATGTCTACCCACACCATACTGGAGAGTCCGCGGCTCTGAGCCAGTCGTCGCCGGGAGTCCCAGCGCCGTCCGTTAAAGGTTATGGAGAGCGAGTCGCTGTAGGAGCCGGCAAAGAGGACAACAAAAATGTGATGATGCGATGAAATGTGAACGAAAGTGTAACTGTAACTGTAACTGTAACTGTAACTGAAACTGAAACTGTGGTTGTCAACGACTCGAACGAACTCGCGTTGTGAATGTGTGCGAATGTGTGGACAAGGTGGATGGAGAGTGAGTCTTGCAGTTCCCCCTGTACTTGGTCTCGTATCTGTGTACCCATAGGTATGCAATAGCCCCACCCCTACCTCACCCCTTAACCCACCCGCTGTTATATACACCATGAACTATGTATGTAGTTAATTAATGTTTTTAATGTGAAATCTAGAGTTACTATCATTCGAGTTGTTAAATGTGCAGCGTTTTCCCATACTATGTGCCACTATGTACATTCCACTAATGTACTTCGTGTGCAATCATTCAATTAATCAATCAATACCCAAAGCAAATACAGCCGTGCAGCGTATTGTTTAATTATCCTACTTAGGTCACAAATGACCTCCACTAATTTTGCCGAGTGTCACGCACAGGCAGGTTTCACTGAGCCATGCAACAACAACCAAGCACAAACGATGGCCGATATTACAGGGTAAACATATAGTTGCATGCGTCAGGATAAATCACAGTTATGGGATGGGATCACCGCACCAGCCCACTCATCGGAAAACAAACAACAAACAAAAGTTCAAAAGAGTTCCATTGTAAGTAGTTGATTGTAGCTGAAATGCATTAAATGTGGTAAAATATTCGAACAACAGAACACACAGAAACACAAACACGCACACATAAAATAGGATAAACACACAGTTCCAAAGTGTTTTCATGTCTTTGCCTAGAAATAACTGGACCGCTCGCAGGTACCGCAAAGCTGAGAGAGGCGCTTTCGCTCTCTTTCGCACAGCCAACCGTTTGTCGGCATGGAATGCAAGCAACAACAAGCAAAGCGCTTGACTCTCGGAGCGACGAGAGAGCTTGGCCGCCCACACAGCTGAGCGAAGCTTTCGCAGAGAGCGATCTACACATGTGTAAGAGAAAGAGAAAGAGAAAGAGAGATGGGAGAACAACCGCAATATGTATGAATGTGCGTACAATTATTGAATTTTTTTGAATTTGCTCCTCAACGAACTTGACAATTGCAATTACGCGTATTCTAGTATTCTCATTATGGTCGTCTCTAAATGTTTTAATGCAAATAAAAAAGAAAATTAAAATTAAAATAAAAGTAAAGAAAACGAACCACAAGCGTATGGCCCTTCATTTCAACACGGGCATATCCAATGGGAAAGCCTCTCTCCCTCTCCCTCCACCACCACCTCCACCTAAGCTCGAAGATGGCCTGTGTGTGTGTGTGTGCATGCGTGTGTACGCAGCTAGGCAACCCTCAACCTCGCTCCACATTGGTTGACCATTTGCAGCTAATGAGCTGGGAATAAATTTCGTTGCAGCATGCGATGATGATAAGCTTCAGTGCGGTAACCAACCCCAGCCTGAGTCCAGCCCGAGTCCTGGCCGACATTGAGCTGTCAGCCACACAGCATCGGGGGAAGACACTAAGAGCGTTCCATTCCGTTCCGTTCCATTTGCCTAGAAATTGATGGCAAACGACTGGACAAGTACCCACTAAATGCATTTTAGCATTCATTTATGCATTCAATAAGAACAACAAATTATGGCACACTTTTGGGCTGCATGTAAAAACCCCACTACGTACACATGTAGCTGATATGTAGCAAACGTGTAGCTTACCATGTAGAATACATTTATGTGTGGGCATGTGGCTTTGCCCATTTGGATCCTGGATCGATAAGGAGTGTGTGCTGGACATAAATCGATTGCCGCTACGAGGACACATCAAATGAAGCACGCGGCAGGAACACGCAACACAACCACAGCCCTGGCCGACTGACTGCCTGGCTGAGGCCACTCTGATTGATGTGCCAGCAGTGTGCGATCCTTGTGGCGAGGGGAAATGGAAATCCGTTGCTGAATCCGAGACTACGGCTTGCCGAAGCAATCACTCATCAGTTTGCCACAACTCATGCCCCACAGACCCTCCACTGACCACACAGGCCATTGTGCAATTGCCTGTATACTCCTGATGGAGTACTAAGGATAATTGCAATTGGCGCTGAGTGCGCAATGAACTCTGAGCCAAAGGTTTGATCGATTGAGTTCTGTGCCTCCAACAGACAACACAAACACGGAGGCCTCGCCCATCCTGCCCTGACCCTTTCCCATGGGAGTGTATCCCCATAGAAGGGGGGTACGTGACAATTACCATCCAGCAAACGAAGAGCAGACAATAGCTGATGCATCATTCTGCCAACAAGAACTGTGCACTGGGGGGCAGGGACAGTTCTCTGCTCGGGTCACGTGCACCCCACACGATCACTGACATCTCCTCGGACCATCAAAGGCTAGAAATTTGTGGAGTGCCAAACATTTTTGTGAACTTCTCTCAAGCCAAGTACATTGCAAGTCCTGTCAACATATTTTTGGTAGTTTGTGGCCATAATTCAATCATAAAATCATTTAAAATTCGCCTAGAACGCGCATAACTCATCATTAGCTGGCTTTTTGCCTGACAAACCTATGAATACATAAATACATACCATGTTTACATATTTACATACGTACGGACTGCAGCGCGCAGAGCTGAATGTTTGGTTATGCAGTTTGCCGGCCACTAAGCCCAGGGACAGGAACAGGAACAGGAACAGGGACAGGGACAGGGCCTGTTAGGGTGCTCGAATAGCGGCATGCAGCCTGCTCTTTTCTGGGGGTGTGGCACACACACGAACACACAGAGACCCACGGACAGCGTTAACAACAGTTAAATGAACCATTGAGTCGAGTGCTTAGCGCCAGCGCCTAACGTGTCTCTGTCTGTCTGCCTTTCTATGCCTTCATCGAGTATACGCACAGTTCGCCCCAGCCGCCACGACCTTGACCACATTTGTTGGCATTATTTTGTTGTATTTTCGTGCACCTTTTTTTTTGGGGGGATTTGTAATGTCTGCGACGGGCAACTGCCGTTTGCGCAATGCCCCACACACACGCCCTGCCCTGCCCCGCCCCGCCCTGCCCTTTTTGGCCAACGAAGAAAAATTATACAATTGTCGGAGCGGGGCGGTTCAGTCGCTTAAGTCGCTTACTTAACGGGGCCTGCGCCGGAACGGGTTTCTTCGTATTGGATATTAATATTTTTTTTGGGTCTGATTATCTCTGGCCACGAAAATTTCGAAATGCGCCCTGGGCCCGGCTGAAGTTTCGCTACACGCGGCGGTTGACCTTCGCCGGGGTTGTGTTGAGGGTGGAGAGGGGGGAGGGGAGTGTCCAGTGCCCAGCAACTGTACCTTTGAGTGGCTAGCGTACGTGTGTTTTGTCGCCTGGGAGATTCGTGGAATTTCAAGTGCTGCTCGGCTTGTCACATGCGAAATTGCTTACAAAATTGGGTGAAAGTTTTTGTGTGTGTTTCGAGCCTACGAAAAGTCCCAGGCGGCAGGGGGCAAAGTTGTGGCACATTACATAAAGCTGCGGCATGAGTACACAGCAGGCAAACTCATAAATGGGGAGGGGAAAACGCAGTCCGAAGACAGCCAAGAATTTCGCGCTTCAAATTTTAATTCTAAATCATTCTTAGCTCCCCCAAGCGGGTGTTTGCAGAACCCGCTCTGGACTTAGCCAAGATCAGAACCTTCGCACTGATCGGACTCAAAATGGTAGAAGAAATGAATAAATTATGGAATTAATTGAAGAATAAATAAAAGAAATAAATGAGGGAATCAATTGAGGAATCGAGGCAGAGGCAAAATGAACAACTAAATGCAAAACAAATAAACATACAATTGCCAAAAGAAATTCCCAAATGAATGAATATTCCATGAGATCTTCTGAGTTTGCGAGTGACTGAGACATGCCCATGCCCATCTTGTGTGTCTCGAATGTCTATCTTGCAATAATATCTTAATAATTAATTTTCACACATATCATGGCTGCTGTCAGTGAGTATGCGTAGTGTTGTTGCAGCTCCCGTAACCAAACACTTTTCAAGTTACACAAGTGACACGATGATAGCTGCAAATAAACTCCTAATTGCAGCTGGCTGCCAGAATGCAGCTAATCAGACAGTTTAGTAGCTAAATGAACCTCCTTCGGGGGCTTAAATTCCATTTAAAAGTCTCCCCCGGAAAGTGCTCAGAATGGAGATAGAAATTCAATTAAATGGTCGAGTGCAAGGGCAGGACATTCCATTGTGTGTGTGTGTGTGTGTGTGCGGGTGCACATGTCAGCTCAATCCGATTAGAGCTGAGAGGACAAACAAAAATAATAATATTGAATCCCAGACGCCAGCCAGGACGAGGCCGAGCAAAGGCGGCAAAACCCCCACTGAGCATTCAATTGTTTGCGTAATTTGCTTGCTTACACTTATGTTTTCATTAAAGGCTTAAGGACTTATCATTTATCACTACTGACTCATATTTGTCGAGCTCTCGATTTGCATTTTGTTGGAGAATTTGTTGATGTTGCTAAGGGGATGAATTGTTGCTGCTGTTGCTGTTATGTTGCTGCTGTTGCTGTTATGTTGCTGCTGCTGCTGCTGCTGCTGTTATGTTGCTATGCATGCATGTTCTATGACGCACTTTCGATTTGTTTTGGTTGCATTCGTTGACCGTTGGCCAATCACTCGCTCAGATAACGGGCGTCAATTTTGCTTGATAGTCGCAGCTCCCACCGCGAGTGTCACAACTAAACTACCCTGGGCCCTGGCAGCGAGTATTAGTGCAGTTCGAGCTGGTCATGGGTGCTGCAATGGGGGGTAGGGTCAATGGCGTAGCTGTCACTGCATGGCCACTCAAACACACACACACACACACGCCGGAGCCGCGTGAACGAAGAACGGACATGCGGCTCTTTATGCTTAGCTCTGCAGTTTGCACAGTGACCAGCTCCCCCAGCCCCCGCATTGCATAATCTGTACTGCTGCACTAAGCTGGTGACTAAGCTGGTGCTATATTTAGTCAGCAGCACATGACTCACGCGAGGAGTCTTTGCAAAGGGTCTGCCGAAAGCGGATGCAGCAACAGCAACATAACAGCAGCAACAGCAACATAACAGCAGCACTAGCAACATCACAGCAGCAGCAGCAACAACATATTGGTAGAAGGAACAACGTCAGCAACATGTATCAAGTGCAAAGCGCAGGCAGGAATTGTCAAGCGCCAAAACGCTTCCTTTTGCGCCGTTCATTGGCCTGCCCCCGCCCCGCACCCGACAAAACGGTTGGAAAAAAGCGTTCAGTCAGTTCCCAGAAGCCAGCAGCGAAAAAACAACTCCCCGAAGCTCATTTGCATGGCTGTAAAACCAAATAGGTCAATGGACATGAAAACAAGAGTAACCTTGAATGCCCACCAAAATATTCTAGCCAAAAAGAAGAACACAAAAAGACACAAAAAAAAAACTATAAGCAGCAAAACGTAAACACTTCAGCTAACTGCTGACGTAGTGTCGCGAGAGGTGGGGTGGAAGGAGCGCGCGGGGGGGGGGGGGGGGGCTACGCTGTCCACGCGGTGTCGGGTCTCAGGTCTCTCGGTTGGCGGGTTCCCGCGCTGGCCATTCAAAGAATGTGGCAAAAAACCCAAAGAACATTTCAGTCATCAAAGAATTCAGAGCGATCGAAGAACACAAATGGCAGGCGGAGCGTAAATCCGGAAATCTACGATCCACTAGAGAGGGGGGAGGGGCAGGGGCAGGGGCAGGGGCTGCCTGTATCCAATTCCAGTATCTTGTCCAGCAGCTCGGCTTGTTTTTGGGAATGTGAAATGTGAATTGATTTCATTTATTTCATTTGTTTTGGCAACAAAATTCGAAATGTGAAATTTGCATGCCAGCCTTTGATCGCAAAACTTAGAACTTGGGTGGAAGATTTAAATTTATTCTTCTTGTTTCTGGCCAGACAGTTACCACCCCAAAGGTGCTTGAACCCAGCGAGCCACCACCCCACACCACACGACACACGACACACACAGCAACCC